CTATTTCACTGATGCAAGGTCTGATTTTACAATTTCACAGTTTACCTGGGGATATTTTGGTTGTGTCTTCAAAAACGTAGTCACAGGCACGCAGAATTTGGACTTGCAATGCCATGCAAAGTTTGGTACCATATCAAAAATGTTGTATTTTAAATTACTGATTATTCCTCTTAGAGATACAGAACGTATGCATGTCATCAAATGTATATATTTATTATATGAAACCTTTCTAATTACAATATTTATTGTTCATGTTGACATGATGATCACATGCAAATCATTACTGGGTTGAAAGTTTCACTCAAATCATGCTCGTTACCAGGGAAACAGGATTCAACATCTCTCAGGGTTCATACCTAAAAAGCCTCCTGAGAGACTCATATGTTGACAGTGACATTGGTATGTGTTGGGCTCAAGGGGGCACTAGAATCTCCAGTGGATTAGTCCCTCCTGGATCCATAACTGAACCCCGTGTGAGGGAAAAGTGAGTCATGAGGTATGGTTGTATTCTTGTCTCTGGTTTCTTCCTCTCCCCCTCCCCCTGCTCCCTCTCTCTTTCTCTTCTTCCAGGCTGCATATCTTTCCTCTTTCATGCCTCTCCACTGTGCCATTTCTGCCTTGGAACTGATCATCCATGCGTGACCTGAGTCTGTGAGCTTCTTTAAACTGCCAGTGTTGGGAGTTTTGTCCCAGAGGTGCGAAATTGACTAATACAACATCTTACAATCAGTTTCCAGGACACTAATGGCTGAATTTCCTTCCAAATGTTAATCGAGCCGATTAACATGTATTTGCCATCTATCATTTTGCTGTACATCGTATTTGTATTTAAATTATTCTTACTTCAGTAATATTTTGCACCAAGCATTGCTTTCTGATAACACTTGTGCTGAATGGGAGCTGAACTCAAAATCACACAGTGAAGAAATTACTTGCAGCAAAAGACAATGCTGTGTATAGTCTCAGTTCACAGGAACCTGACAGTGATGTGGTTTACCTGTGAGCTCCACACACAAAGCAGGCACATATTAGAAATCAATTCTCAAATCTACCCACTGGTGACATGTGGAGATAAGACCTGCAGAAGTTCATTAGGGTGAGATGTGCTGTCGAGGGCCGTGTGTACCTCGATGGGACTAGCAGCTTTATAAAGAAGGAAAGAGGTCCAAGCTGGCCCACCTGCTCTGCCTTCCCCTCGGGATGCACTCTGCTATGGTAAAAAGCAGCAAGAAGGTCCTCACCAAACATCAGCGGCACACTCTTAGAATCCAGCCAGCAGCAGAATAGGTCGAACAAAACTGCCATCTTTATAGACCAGCTCATCTCAGGTATCATGCTATAGCGTAGACTAAGACAGGAGGGCTTGGAGGAATGTGCTATGCTCCAGTATTTTCTCCTGTAACCAAGGACACCATGCAGAGGTTCCCCCTGCACACGACGTGAAGATTCCACTTAACTTTCTGTCCCCTCTTCTCAAACCCCAAGAAAGTCATTAACAGTGGTCTGTTTCCCCTTCCAAATAGATTCGGCCCACTTTTCTCCGTGGTGGCCATTCTGGTTCAAGATGGGAGCATGTCTCAGCACGAGAAGAATGAGCTCACAATTATTTATCCATTCCATTTTGCCTTCCTGTTGACCCCCCCCATGAATACAGCGAAATCACCCAGATGGCACTGGCACCTCTCTGGTTAATGCTCCTCCTCAGGAACCTGAAGACTTTGGCCAGGTGTCTAATTCTCCATCCTCATCCCAAGCCTCCCTTGCTCTTCTTGATTCTATGCCAGTCATTTCCTGCATATGTGTACAGGTGTTCATACATCATGCCCGACTTTCCTGTGGACTGATACAACCTTCTCGCCCCAAATCACTACTTCTGGGAATAAAGGATGGACTCATATGGCTTGTTAGAGATGGCCACTCTCTCCATGGTGTTGAACACATTTCGGGATTATGTAGTCATTTGGTTGTTTATTGGATCAGAATGTGTCCCTGTATTTATGCTGTAAGTTCTTGTGGTAAAAGAGCTGGCTTCTTTGTATTGACAGTTGCCTCCTCAGAATAAGGATGGTGCTTCTCATGGTTGGGATTTGAAATGTCCCCCAGAAGTTGAAGGTTCGGTCCCCAAGGCAGGATTGTCCAGAGGTGGAAACTTCAGGAGCTTTGGGATCAGGAGAGTTGTGTACTTATTGATGTGTTAATCCATGGATCAATTTATAATTTCATAGACTTATTGAGAGATAATGAAAGTTAGGAAATAGGTTGTCATTGAAGGAAGTAGAGGATTAGGGTGTGAACTTGAGGATTGTATGTTGCCCCCATGTACTTCCTTTCCATATATGTTTTATCTTGCTATGTGTTTCCAGTAACTATCTCCTTATCTTTATATCCATCTACCTATGTATCTATCATTTGCCTATCTATATATCAACTATCCATTCACACACAAACATACATAACATGTATATTCCACTACCATACCATTTCACTTGGACAAAAATTAAATTATACTCATTTTAGGAATATAAAGAACCTATGTGAATTGCAAGGACATCAGTATTCGATGCCTAAAAAAAAAAAAAAAACACAGTAGACAATGGGAAAGTGCAACCTTTACCTTCAGTTTCACAACTGCTGACTTGTTTTAATTTTCCATGATCAGCGCTTTATTTTGAGGCATATAAAAGCAGATGGTAGAATTAGATGAAGTAGAAATTCATTCCCATAAAGTTCCAAAATGTATTCTGCTACCTATGAGGATACATACGGATGATAATTTCATTTTCTCATCTATGAAAGAAGTTTCGATGAAAAAGCATGACAAGAAAGCTGGTAGAATTGGTAGAAGTGGATCGCTGATAACAATCAAAAGGGCAAAGGATCTATGCTTGCCCCTTCTTCAGCAATGCTGGTCTACTCTAGATCACACATGTCATTCTATACTATTGTTTATTTTATTTATTCATTTATTCATTTTGGGTACCGGGTTGATGTAAGCTTTAATGAAGGCAGCAAGGCTGTTGAAAAAATGCCATCAAAACTGCAGTAACTCCAAGCTTATACAACCTCAGAACCTCCACTTAACTTTTTAAGCAACTGCTAACTTTAAAAAGTGGCCTTTCCACCATACTCATTAATTTGTTTTCCACGAGTTCTTGCTACTGCTTTTTGTTTGTGTTATACAGAACGTAATTTTTCAGTTTCTGAAGAGAGAGAGAGTGTTAGTTACTTTTCTCTCGTTGCGGAGACAAAATACCCTGCACCCGAAGTTAGAGGGGAGGGGTTTCTTTGGCTCACAGTTTACAGAGATTTCAGTCCATAATCTCCATAACTGGCTGGCTCTGAAACTGGGGTAGCAAGCAGGCTTCACAGAGGAGAAACAACAGGGCAAGCACAAGGCAGCAAAGGTAACAAGAGTTACCAGCATCTTTCTACTTCTTTTATCCCATCCAGACTACCAGGATTGGGGCAGTGCTGAACTAATCACTCACAGGTAGTGGTTTAGTAATCACACGCTCTTAACCCCAGCATCACACATTCCAGATTCAGCCATCTCTGAAAAAGAAAGCCCCGCCTCATCGGCATGAGGCTTTGGGGGACCTCTAAACACAAGCCATAAGAGAGGGCTTCGTGTTGATGACTTTTATTTCATAAATGCAATGAATAATTGTTAAAAGAAATACATGTGTGCAGGCTTCTGGGCTGAATTTAGTGATTAGGAGAAAAAAAAAGAGGACATTCACAAAGGGAGTTTTATGTCACAAGTACTATGTCACTTCTTCTGGGAAAATTAATCTAGAGGAAATTTGGGACGCCCCAAGCATGAGAGTTGGGTGGTACTGGAGTCTTGTAAGTAGACTTACGAGAAGGGATTAAAATTGAAAAAGCCTGGTTTGAGGAAAGAAATAGGAGCAAACCTCAAAATGGTCCCTGACCAAGTTCAAAGTGAGCACATAGTTTCTTTGTCATTTTTGTGTCATCGAGGCAAAATACCTGACACTCATAAGTTAAGGAAGGAAAAGATTATTTTGCTCATGGCTTCAGTCCACGGTAAATATTTAGTGTAGTGGGTAACATATAAATCTTTAATGATGTTAGATGGTATTACCATCATGGATTTCTTAGAAGACTTGGCCAGGGAAGAAGACTGTTGTGTGAAGTGCAATTGACAGTCAATATCCAAAGAGTTGACCCACTGTGTGTCCAAAATTTGGGGGGGAAATTCCATCTGTACTGAATATTAAAAGGTAGAGTTTTCCTTGTCATTTGATCGGTTTTCTTATTTTTCTGACAGTTTACCTGACACTCACCCAACTAAAACGTAGAGGAGTTTATTTTGGCTCATTTTTCCAAAGGGTTCAGTCCACGGTCAGGTGGCTCCAATGCAGAAGCATCATGGCAGAAGGGTTTGGTGAAGGAAAACTTCTTACTCATGGTGATCCAGAAGCAGACAACAGAAAAGAGCCAGAGTGGAAGGTTTGAAGGTGTTAGGATTCCATGGCCCATCTAGACACACCTTGAATTATATGTTACTAACCTAGCTATCTCTCAAGCCAGTCAAGTTGACACAATTAAGCTTAACCACCGCATCATCCAAACCTGAACATGGAGACCATAAGCACCAATGCCTTAGATTATCAGACAGGGCACACAGAAACTTGCTACAGTGAGATAACTGACAATTCATTATGGAAATGAGAAAATCACCCATTGTAGAACTGTCTGTACGTATAAGAGCAACCATCCTATCACAGCATCCATAGCAGGAAGAAATTTCTTCTGTGGGCAGATTCCACCATGGGATAGGTCCTGCAGGTTCTGGGCATAAAATGACCCCCCTAAAGCTCAGTTTGTTGATAACCTCGAGTTCTGAGAGAAGTCCAGCCACCCACACCTGTCACTGGGCAGCCTGCTCCATCTACATCACACTCTTTCTGTGATGTCACAATCAACTGAGATTGGCCGTCGGTGTCATATTGAGGGGGCAACTTTGCATGTAAGAACCAGCCCTACAAAACATGCTAGCATTGGAAAATACAATTTTAGGGTGGGGGTACTGGGGAGTGAGCCCAGGGTTTTCACGTTGAGCTACATCTCCAACCCCTTCTTAACCATAGAGACAGGATGCCATTAAGTGAGTAAGTTGCTCAGGCTGGAGTAGAACTGGTGAGTCTCCTGCTTCTGGTTCCCAGAATGTTGGGATCGTAGATACGCATGACCACTCCTAGCTATGATCTTTTTGTACGGAATTACAAGCATCAAAAATATACTGTGCCACCCCTACGCCCCGGTAAAATGCTACTCTTTCCCATGCTATGCTCCACATTAACCTGTAGAGTATACACCCTGTGGGAGAGTGGACAGCTGGATGTCACTGTGTGAGAAATTTATGGCTTAAGGAGTTAAATTGTTAAGGGCCCCTGGCTGCTTGTCCCTCACTGACAGTTGCTGAAAGCCCACCCTGAGCCTGTTACCTAGGAAACACAAGGGCATATGGACTGGATGGTCTACCATAGCCTGGAAATCACAAAGAAAACTATCCAGAAACACAGCTGGATAGATTGAAGCACTTCTCTCCCCGGAAAAACAAGAGCACATATCAAGCTATGGATGAATCGCTGCAGCTTTTTAGTTATGAAAACACATCTCACAAACTTCATTTTTTCTAGGCAGCTAGATCTTTATTGAGGATCTCTGGAGAGATCCTGTTGGATGCTAGGGATCCAGACTCTGCGTGTACTGTCTTGATCTTGTATGGATCGTTCACACTGAGTCAACTCCTTATCCCCGGATGGATTAGCACTGCTCAAGTTCATATATGCAGGCCGGGACACCACACTCCACTTGTGTACCCTTTGGAGCTCACAGAAGAGCAGTACAACCAGAAGGCATGCGTACAAATACTAATTTCACAACTATCTGTCCTCTCAGTCTGCAGAGCTCGACTGCCCTGAGATCTTCAAAGTGAATTTCAGTTGGTTGAGAGACAGAAGGTCCTGGTTCCCAAGGAGATGTAACCGTGAAGTAAAGCCACGGCTGAAAACAGAGCATGATGTACATCTTCAGTGTTCACTATGCTCCTGTTTGCAAAAGCGGGAGGCTGTGGTATCTAAGGAGTGAATCCATTGCTGTCTGAGGTGTCCACAATGAGCTAAATGATCAGCAAAGTGCAAATGTAAGTAATGACTGGTCACTGCTCATACACACACATGGGGCAGAAGAGGAGAAAGGCATGTGGGGAGATACTACCCAGGGTTTGCCCTATTCTGTGGGTATATATAAAAATGGTTTTAAACCGTGTGGCAGATTTCACCTCTCTTCCTCATTATTCTTGCTTTATTTCTCTTAAACCTTTTGAAAATACTGGTCGACATGTACAGGGAATGGCAAGGAAATCAGGATACCAGGGGATAAGGAAGAAGTATGTAGAGAAATTCCAGTACACACCATGAGAAGGAGAGATAGAAGGAGAGGGAGAGAGAGAATGAATTAGTTTGCGAATCTGAAAGTCTATGATGGCCCAAGAAAAGTGCTTTACAGGATATGAAGTTGAGAAAAGATGAACATGGTTTATCATTTTAAAAAATGTAACACAATTTAACCATGGAAATATCATATTGGTTGTAAAACCCAAAGTAAGATTTATAGCAAAGAATTACTTAAGGATTGTTAAACATTATTTCTAGTGTTCTGTAGCCCATTAGGTTAGATATAGTCTCTATCAATGTGGTTGAAATTTTAGAGCAACTGAAAGAAAAGAGTTTGAAGTTCCACAACAATTAGAAGTGATGTGCTTGAAGATATGAAAATATGATACTTTTTATCACTACATGTTGTACACTTTTATCTAGTTATTTTCATATACCCCATAAATATTTGTAATTATCATGTGTCAATTAAAATTTCTAAATATATGAATAAGTGTTAATTGGATCTTAGAAATTCTGAACAGGCAAGTTGATAATATATCGGTTTATAAAATTGTGGAACATTATTTCCACATATGACTTTTAAAATATGAGTTTAATTTTATACCCCAAATAAGAATACGATGACTGTTTATATACATATTTCAGAATTAGAGTCCTGCTGAATGAATATATTTGCATTTAGCAATAAATTCAGTCAAAAATTATCATATTTCTACCCTGAACAATGCCAACTATTGCTGAGGAAAATGAAAGGAAGCTCATATACATAAAGCCAAATTCTATCAATGCCTTTGACAGCTCAATAGTCTTAAATTGTTAATTGCATGTAATTTTTAAGGTTAATCAGCATTTTAATCAGTATCCCCCAATCCCATTTTTCTGTTAAGGAAATTCAGAGATTCCATAAATCTATATATCTGCACTGAAGTTTTCACTAAATTTACTGCTACATATCATGCAACTTTGACTTTTACAATTAAAGTACGTCTCACAATTCCTTTTCTAAGTTTCATGTTGAATATAGAAATAAATTCGTATGTGTCTTCTATACTGAGATATCCTGAGATTCTTAAATCGTATATCAATTTTAATTTCTTTTAATTTCATAGGATGTTTTATATAACCAAATAAAGGCAGTTCTAGAAATACAGACCGTTCTATTTTTCCAAATCCATATGTCCACTTCCTTTCGTGATTTATGGCTATGGTAAACTCCTCCAACTGATTGCTAATTGAGGTTAGGAAAACACTGATGTTTTCTTCCAGATCACAAAGAGGAAAGATTACTATTCTATGATAAAATCTGAAAAAGGAAGTTCACAAATTCATTTCTTCAATAAAAGGAATTTCCCTTCCATCCCTACTGGCTGAATTTTCACCAATGTTTAATTGTTTCCACATTTTTGTATGCTCTTATGAACATGTTGTATAGAGCATTTGTATAGTATATTAATAGGAATGAATGAAATTCATGAAGTTTTAAATGATGAGCAAAATGTATTTCCTAGGAGAAAAAACACAGTCATATGACCTATGGAACTATCTATATATCATCTACCTAAGTACCTATCATCTATTATCTATGATCTATCTATCAATTTACTAATATCTAGCAATCATCTATATGTATCTATCATGTATCTATATCTGTTATCTACCTACCACCTCATTTATCTGTAATCCATTTATCCATCTACCTATCAACCCTATCTTGCTATCACTGTTACCCAACTGTCATCTGCACTCTATGTATCTACAGCCATCTATGTATCTATCTATCACCAATCTACCTCTTTATATATGTCTACCCATCTTTTTCTATATTAATTTCCTGCTCGTCATCTCTAGATGCCTTTTTATCTATCTTTATGGACAAAATCAACTCCTTAAATTTTACTTAGGATAATCACATCTATTGCACACAACATAATATCATTTCATTTTTGTCAGATTTTGCTGCCAGGACTTTAGTTGCCTGCAGAACATAAGTTAGAAAGCAACTTCTGGATCATTATTTTCTGAAGATAGTAAGCAGACCACTTCCTTCTTATGTTTGTTTGACACGATTCACAAGCAGACATTTGAATCTGGAGTTTTGACAATGATTGACTTGAAGGTTTTCTGTTTTTTAAGGAAAATTTCTTGTACAAATTCAACTCCTTCAAAAAGAAAGCCATTGCTTATTCACTTTTATACAAAATATTGAAAAGGTTCATTTGCAATGAAATGCATTCATTCCAACAAAGATGTTTAGTTTAGTGGCACAAAATTATACCTAATAACTCTTTTTATCCTCTCATCTTTGGTTATTTAAAGGACTGGAAATGATAGGACCTCTTGCATTCCTATTAGGAAATCTTATGTTTCTTTCCTTTTATGTAGATGAGGCTTTTTAGAGAGTCATCGATATTATTTATCTTTTCATATATATTCTTTTGTCTGAATTTTGTGTACAGACAGACCTACATGTCTGTGAGTTTCATATCTTTAAATTTAGCCAGCATGGATTGAAAAATATGAAGAAGACTAAGAGATCCATAGTGAATATGTGCAAACACTTTTTGTCGTTATTTCCTTAACAATAGGGGAAAATCACTTTTCACCCACATTTACGTTGTGTTAGGTATTAAAAAACTGTGTGTATGGGAGGCCTGTATTGGTTCTCTGAAAGTATGATGGTATTTTATATACTAGGCTTGAACATCCTTGGATTGGGGGATTTACTGGAGTTCATAGAGCCCAACTCCTATTGATACAGAGAGATAGCTTTATTGTAATTCAGGCATCTCCAATACATCCACTCTATTATTTGTTTTGGGTTTAATCTTCACTTTTTTTCATTTGAGGTGAAGGTTATAAAATTCATTTTAAATCTTCCTTTCTGTCAAATAAAGGCTCTTGGAGCCATAAATTTTCCTTCAGATGACTGGTTTACAATAATTCTCATTATTCACTTCAAAGTATTTTCTCACTTTCATTGTGCTGTCTTCTGTGATTCATGGATGACTCTGAAGTGTGTGTCCATATAGGTGGGAGTTTTTGAAATATTTGCTATCATTTATATATGCTTTAAATCTCTTATAATCAGTAAAAACATGCAGTGTGATTTCATTTAATTCACTGAAAGTGTGGTTACACTTTTACTATGGTTCACATTATGGTGACATTTTTATGGTCCATCAGTGATGAAAACCACATGCATTTATTGTGTTTTTGCATGCAGTATTCCAGATATGTCTTTTCAGTTGAGAGTATTGATATGTGATTGAATTTTTACGCCCTTAGTCTATGTTTCCATGTACATGTGCCATAGATTTCTGTAACTGAATTTCAGTTCTGCAATGATCACTTGTTGTCCTAGTTTAATTTTGTATTTCTGTTAAGATATTCACTCTCATAACACTGTTACATCTTTCCAGTATTTGTATTACTTGATTTATTGATAACAACCATTCTTTCTAGAATAAGATGGAACATCATTTTTCCCTGAATGTGCATTTCATTCCTCAAGAAACTAGTAGTAGACATTCCATTTGACCCAGCTTTTCCACTTTCAAGTACCTTCCAGAAGAATTAAAGTGATATCCTATTACAGTGATCCATGCACATGCATCCTTGTACCAGCACAATTCGTAAGTGCTAAATCTTGGAAGCAGCTTCTATGTCCATCAACAGATGAATGAATAAAGACCACGTGGTACTTACACATAATGAAATACTACTCTGCCATAAAAAAGGATAAACTTGGGTCATTTGCAGGAAAATGGGCGCACCCTGAGACCACAGCGTTAAATTAAATAAATCAGACCACAACCTTAACGATCGCATGATTTCTCATTTATGAGGAACTCAAAGTATAAATAAAGAGCAAAATCAAAGACAGGTAATAGGAAAAAGGGAGCTAGATCTTTTGCAAAAAAAGACAAAAGTGGGAGGAGCAAAGGGCCTGAAAAAGGAGTGAGGATGCGTTCCCGTACATGCACCAACTCCACACAAGGAGTGTACGCATTCTGCACTGCAAACGTGCACTAATAAAAATTAAAACAAAAATGGTAGGGTTTTTTTATGACTTATTCTTGGTCGTAAAAAAAAGTCCCTTTTTTATTTTGTAGATACTCCTTACCAGGAAGTTGGTTTGACACTACATTAGCCACTTTGGCTGTCTTGCTTCGATGTTCCTCACATGAGTTTGCGTGACATACTTAGGAATGTCTCAGGGTTACATATTCTGAGATGTGAATCTGACCCCATCCGCCATAAACAGTCATATAAAGCATGATCTTTACCAACGAGTCTTTGGGAAATGCTTGTATTCAGGGGCAAATATCATGTAAATAACAGAAGAGATAAAAATTAACAGAAAAGGGGCCAGGGATGTAGCTCCGTGGTGCCGCTGCCTGCCTCGCAAGCTCAAAGTCTTGAGTTCAATCCCCAGTACCAAAAAAACCCCCCAAAATTAGCAGGGTCAAGAGTACTTCTTTGGCTTTAGTTGGGTGGGTTGCTAGAAAATCCCTCACTCTCAATCCCAGCCATTTTACTTCCCTGTGTAAATTCAGGAAAATCTGTAAAATCCCAAATCTGAGACATTGTTTACCATGATGAAGAGAGGTGGAGAAAGAAGAAAACGAATGGAAAAAAATAAAAATAAAGAGAGCAAATGCTTAGGTCTAGCCAGAAATACCTATCCTGATGGTTCTGTGTTCAAAGCAGCACCTGTATCCCAGGATCCTCCGGTACACAAAGTGATCCTAGACCTGAAGACTTCCAGGACACTCCCACACACTGTAGCTTAGCAACTGCTTCCTACTCAAACCAATTCACACCCACACCGGGCCTTCAAGGCATCGGGAGACTCAGATGTGTTCCAGCTCTGACCCTCCGTGGTGGCAACGTGAAAAATCCACTTCTCACCTAAGCCTTTCCAATCTGTGCATGACAAATGTCAGTTTCCTGCTATCCACTTTGGGGCAGGCAACAGAGGAAACCAAGTAAAACCCCCATAGTGGAGGAGTGGATTATGCAAGTCTAAAATGTGGGAAGAAAATCAGCCAAATAGAAGCAAGAACAGCACAAGGCTTTAGGAGCAAAGTGGCATGCACTTGCAAATCACTGTCCTGTCCCACAGGAGAATCTGTAGCTGGGGATTTGAGCTCCCAAAGGCAGAGATGATTTATGAATTGTTTTCTGCATCTACAAAGTCTCTTACTGGGTTCAGTGTGGATGTGAAGCAGCTCCATTGTTAGAAAACATAAAGGAGTCCAAAAAGCCAAGAGCCAGCCAGACTGCACTCCATAGCTCATCCTTCCTGGGGACTTTATTTTTGACAAAGCCACCCAAATGCTGACTCCTCATCTACTTTTCTGGTTTTCTCTACTTTCCCTTTGGCATCTGCTTTGATAAACCCGAGACCTCAGACCCTGGGTTATCCCAGACTGCATCTCAACCCTGGCTCTCCACAGATCCATTCTGTCTGCCCAGCAAGCAGTCCTGCCAGTAAGGATTCATCTGTATGTGCAAAATTAACCACAGTTTCTGCTCAGCAGTATGCATACCCCAATGAGCAGATTAGAAGTTCCTGAAGTGAGCCGTACAGACATCAAATACTTAGCTGGCAGCCGATCCTGTGATTCATTGGTGGTTGCTTTTCTTTCTACTGTCCACTGTCCAGTTCACATTGCAGACACTCCTGCCACATGATTCTTTATTTGGGGGCTGCACTGTGTGTCCAACAGGCTCCCCACACGAGACTCTCAAGATATCAGTGGCAAACTACTGTTAGGACAGCACAAATTCTTTCCAGTCATTGATGAATAAACCCGGTGGAAAAACGGAGCACTGGGCTCCAAGCTACACAAAATGAGAAGCTGTGATTTTTTTTTTTTTTTTGCTCACTATTCTACATCGAGTATCTAGTAACATAAAAAGGACACAGGAGTTGCTTGTGGTATTTTGGTGGATAAATCGATAAGGAAGTAGTAACCATGAGTCAGTGCCAACTCTGGTTACATCTGAAAACAGATCTGGGAATAGTCGGTACAGAGCAGCCCTGCTTATTTATCCAGATCTACCAGGTTTTCAGCCACTACTATGAGGATACAAGGAAAATGAAGAAGTCTTGCCTGGTCCCTCCTCGAACGTTGTGGAATCCGAAGTACATTGTCTTGTGAAGCACACATCGAACATGTTTTTAAGAGAGCAAGTGTATACCAGACCATTGATGCATTTTGACAAATACTAAAGCCACACGACCAAGCAGCCTGTATTTTCTGAAAAGAGTGCAATTATACGAGAAAAGTAAATGGTAGGGAGAAAGACGCCAAGTTGTCCACAGATTTGTGAATGTTAAAATACATTTATACAAAAGTATTTTGTTCTGGCGTGGACTGAAGTTGGTGTCTGATTCTCATTCATATTCATTCTCTTCCTCTCTCTCTCTCTCTTTCTCTCTCTCCCTCCCTCCCCTCCCTCCCTCCTTCTTCACCCATTGTAGTACTGGGAATTTGCCCCATTGTCTCTATACTGAGCTACATGTCCAGCCCTGTTCTAATTTTTTTTTCAATTCTGAGATACGGCCTCACTAATTTACTATGTTGCCTAGGCTGGGCTCGAACTGGGGATCCTCCTGCCTCAGCCTCCTAAATATTGATCTCTCTTTTTGAGAGAAGAATGTGTATCTTCTTCTGCTCAAGAATTTTCTGTAGATTTAGTAATCAGTATCAGCCTTTCCAGGTTGAATGGAATAAAAAGGCAATCTATAGTTCTTACATCATCAATAATTATGTCTAATGTCTTCTACAGCACAAGTGTTCATTAAATATTTGTGGAAAAGAATGGAATCATTTAAATCAGCATTAATACTTTAACATGTAAAGGATGGAGGAAAAAAATCATCAGATGGGAGTGTGATGACGCTGAATTGAAATGAACAGACTTGTCTTGGCTTCTTTGTTAGAAGGAAGATTCTGCACAGTATTTCTCCCCCAGCTTTGTCTGTCTGATCAATGGAGATGGGCAAAAGTGGATTTTCCCTCTCTCTGTCTTTAGCTGCTGTATAAAAAGGAGGAGAGTGTTATCACAGAGTAGGGCTGTTATTAAGCGCAGTATAATATATAGGTGTAAGTGAAGTTCAGTGAGAAGTCAGTGGAAGGAGAGACATCTGTACCCAAAAGCAATTGGCAAAGGATTCTTAGCCATCATTCTTAACCAGTGGGGAGTGGACAGCATGGAAGGCAGGAATGACAAGGCAGGTAGAGGAACTTAAGCCATTCAGTGACAGTGACAATATTTTGATTCAATTATCCATGCCTGTACTTCACAAATATTCGGTCAGCACTTCATAGGAACTAGACACAATAAAGATAGCTGAAAAAAAACACTATCGCCACTGTGGGAGTGTATGTAAAAGTACATTCAATGTTACATCCAGATCAGCTTCTGATCCTTATCATCATGGACGTTATCATTACACTGAAAAGGGAGAGGGATTGGCTGCCCTTCATGAAAAGGGACATTGTTAGGATGCCCAAGAGGTAGAAAAAAACATTTTGTGCCAAGGAGACAATGGAAAGGGATATGAACATACTATTAAACAAGAAAAATATAAAGAACAAGCAAAACTTCCTGCCCAGAAATATGATGTGTTTGTCAAGATATCTCCACAGGGAATTCAGCAGAAAGGTAATCTGATCTTAAAACACAAAACAATACTGGAAATAACAATACATGCCATGAAATATTCAGGAATTGGATCAATAAGAGATTAATACAAAATAGCTCAATGTGAGGTAGAGGAGAGAAAATCGATCAATAGATAATAGGTAGATAATAGACAGACAGGGGGATAGGTAGACAGGCAGATGGGTAGATAAAGGGAGGGGTGGATGGATAGATAGATATATAGACAGACAGATGCACATACCTTTGCTCCCAGTGTTTGTGCCCCACCACCCAAATTTATGTGGTGATGGCTTCACCCCACGCTGAGAGGTGAGGCTTTCAAAAGGTAATAAAGTCAGGAGGGTGGGGCCTCATGGATGGGATCAGTGCCCTTCAAGAAGAAACCCCACTGAGCTCACTGTCCCTTCCACCAGGTGAGGACCCAGCAAGAAGGGAAGGGGCCATTGGTCACCTAGGAAGCAGCCTCACCAGATGCTTGATTTACCACAGCTGGACTTTGGACTCTCAGCTTCAGTGTATGTGTATGTATTCTTTCTTACTAACGGGCTCACTTAAATTTTAAAAAGTCAGTCTATCCTGGATATTCCAGTATCAGTGTGTTTCTCTTATTTTTATCTATATTTGCCTACTGATTACCAATTTCATCAGTATGCATCCATCTATCATCTATCAATCTTTATCCATCCAACCACACATCTAAGCAGAAACAGAGAGAGAGAGAGAGAGATTCTCATTCATGTGTAGAGATTGTTTTTCAGAAAGATCGAGCTGTGACAATCGTGTAAGTCCATGCTGATCACAAATCATTTTGTTGGGATGGGGATTTAGCTCAGTGGTTCCCCCACCTGCCTCGCAAGCGCAAGGTCCCGAGTTCGATCCCCAGTACCCCAAAAAAGAAAAAATCACTTTGTTAAAAACACTAAAGAGTCTGATGTTCTCCAAGAGGAAGCTGCCCGGGACAGTCACGTTCTGGGAAATTGTTACAGGTGAAAGGACATGCATGCTTCTTGAGAGACTACAGCGCTCACCCAGCAGTGTGTAGCAGAGGTACCCCGACACCAAGCTCTGCCACATGTTTTCTCGTATTAAACATATGTTCAGGAGATCGTCATCAGGACATGGTTTAATACGTACAGCTTTCACGGGACATGCACAAAGCTTATCAAGAAAAACAGAAAACACTGAATCACATTGAATCACAAGCATGGGGCCCACTCTGCAAGGCTGGACCAACTCAGTGCTTTGCTTCTGTCTCTTTTTCTCCCTTCAGCATAGTTGCTCTGGCATGCTGAAGGACTCTACATGCGTGTGTGCAGCTTTAAAAGGACAGGTTTAAAAGGTCTGTAAGCACACTGTGTCTATAATGCAGAGCCACACACTGTTAGGCTGTCAACACTCCCTGAGCAATGCACTACAGCAACTATCTTCACAGTGTGTGCGTGGTATTGGGTATGCCTTAAACTATCAGAAGAGGATGAACAGGTACAGCATATGCACATACAAGTCTTATGTACAAGGGACTTGAACATCCATAAATTTTGGAGGAAAAGCCAAAATTAATCTCTCTCAGACATCAGTGGAAACTGTTCTTCTCTCTATTCCATTTCACCCATCCCCTTGCTTCTGGAATACTCCATCCAACTTGGAATCTACATGGACTTTCCTTTCTCTCCATTAGAAGCCCAGAAGAACTCTATCTTGGGGCATCAAGCAACTAAGACTAAATACTTTGAAATAGATCCAAAGCAAGGAAGTGAAAATGCACAGGGTTACACATCATTATGAGGACAGGAGGAAGGAAAAACTGAAACGCCTAATGGTAACACACACAATCTCTACAAAAAATATAATGCTGAACAGCTACAAACAGGAAACTGAGGCTAAAATATAGTTTATACTGAATATCAGTACTTGACTGGAGTTAGCTCCCATTATTACATGTAGCTCTCTTGCTGTATTTTCCTCAAAGTCAATAACAGTCAATGCCTAGGAAATATGCCAATATTTCATTTGCAATGTTATCACATTTTATTTTAAAGCAATAACAGTTAATACTATACCACTGCATCAGTCAGCTTTCTTGTTACTGAGACAATAATGGACACACTTGTACCTCAAAGCAGGAGATGTTTTCTTTGGCTCATGGTTTCAGGCAATTCAGTCCACTGCTGGACATAGTGTCCTCCACTATCCAATCACCTTCTAAAAACCCCCCACTTTGAACACATGATGCACTGCAGGACATATGAGAGCTAAACCATAAAAAGCACCACGGAGAAGTCTGTAAGATCTGCAAAGTGCATGTAGTACTAAGACCGTTCTGACGAAACCACAACATTCCTGTATGTAAAATCCTTGAGTTCTGTGACTATCCACAGAAAGGAATAGTTATAGAATATTTGTTTGTGACACTGTGGGTGTTGCATTTGTACATGATGAGTAGCTTGTGATGCATCTCTCTGCATATAGATGTTAATATTCCACTCACTTTACGATTTACTAAATATTTTCAGACACAGTATTTATCTGCATTTCAGATTCCCAAATTGCTAAAAATTTATCTCAAATCTCACCTCCTCCACAAACTCTTCTATCAGCCAACATTTATTTTTCACTTAGTGGCTGAAGGCATTTTGGGAACTGCAAGTAAGAACCAGTTTCTAGCAGTGCAGATAGGAAACCTTCTGTTTATAGATGAGAACAAATGACATTTTTATAGTAGTTATCTTATTTTATAATCTCCCTAGTATTTTAGACAGTATTCTTTAAGGAGACATATGCTATTTACTATAGGTGAATAATATTTAAATACAAATGAGTTTCTGTGTTCTTTGGTCAGGCTTATATCTCAATACATTTATTGTGCTGTTGTTCTATATTTCTTTGCTAATCTCCTCTCTCTCTGTCTCTGTCTTTTCTCTCACTCCCTTCTCCCTCAGGTCTTTGCCTACTTCTCTGTCTCTCTCTGTCCTTCTCTCTCTCCCCTCTCTCTTTCATGTCACAGGTCTTTTCCTATTTGTCTGCTTCTGTCTCTCTGTTTCTGTCTCTCCTCTTTCTCTTCTGGCTCACTTTCTCTTTCTCTCTTCCTCTCCCTTTCTCCCCCCTCATGTTGCAAGTCTGTTCTTATTTCTCTCTTTATGTCTGCCTCTCTGTCTCTTTCTCTGTCGCTCTCTGTCTTTGTCTCCCTCTTTCCACTCAGACAATGAGGTAGAAATTAGTAGTCAATGCAAATGACGACTTAAGAAAAAGAACAATTCCTGCAGACTTTGCCCTTTGGACTTGGTTTGGCCCAGAGAATGTTTAAAGCATGAGACTGGAGCTGTGGGAAGTGGATGACAAAGACAACGTCATAGAGACAAGACCAGATAATGCGGAAGTGGGCAGAGAAGGGTCGGGCAGCGGGGAGAGACTTATGGTTCTCATGGTCTCTGAGGGTTCAGTTCATGGTCAGCTGCTCCAAGCCAAGAAAGGCAGAAAGATGCTCACATCATGGTGGCTGGGAATGAGAGAGAGAGGCAGAGAGAGAGAGAGAGAGAGAGAGAGAGAGAGTCACAGAGACAGAGACAGAGAGACAGAGAGTCCTCCCCAACACCTGGGGACAAGACTTGCTATTCACAATAAGACACTTGTGAGCTGGCAATAGAAAAATAAAAATGACTGATGGAGGCAAGAAAAAAATTTGCAATATATAATTAAATCAGTTGTGGTGACACAGTCCTGTAATCCAAGCACATTAGAAGCCTGAGGCAGGAGGATTGCATGTTCAAATCCAGCCTAGGCAATTTAGGGAGATCCAGTTTCCACATAAGAAATAGAAAAAGGGCAGGTTTTGAAACTCACTGCAAAGGCCCTGAGCCAAGCTTCCATAGAACAGCAAAAACTATGAGCAATAATAATTCAGAGAACCAAACAATACTTTAAAGCATCAAAGGACTTGAGAGCATTGAATCAGCATGCATAGCCATCTTTTTCATACTTACACTAATTATTTAACTAATAGATGAGGGTGTACCTCTTTATATGGCCTTGACTTATAACTCTGCATTGTGCACACAATTATACTTAGAATATGGACTCGTGTACACTAATGGATGTAATTTAACAAAGTCAAGAGTGAACAAAAAATGTGCCTTAAAAGAAGACTTACGTTCAGACTTTAGATTAATGTATTTAAAATGTGCTAAAACGTTTTGTGTGGATAAATGTAGGCGGACTCATGACTTTTTAGTGCTGAGAAAATATTGCCTGAGCTGTTTTATGGAGTAATTTATGATAAGTGATTTATTATTTTCCTAGCAGATGTTAACAGGGAAACCATCACCTTGGATTTTTCCCTCCTTTTTGCTTCTTTGGGGATCAAATCCAGGAGGACTCAGTCCCTGAGCTACAACCCCAAACCTTGTTATTTTGTTATTTTGAGGTAGTCTCTCTAAATCGCCCAGGTTGATTCTAAACTCATGATAGTCCTGCCTCAGCCTCCTGAGTAGCTGGGATTACAGGTTTGCACTGCCAGGCCATGTTCCTCTTGTTTAACTGGCATTTACTTCTAGAACTATTGCTTGGAAATCCATTCCAGTAATTAAAAGAGAAGTGTAGATGCCATACTGTCCTTCGATCGGGTCTTAATCCCAAGTGGTTTCTCAAGAGTGCAGCACCAGTCCAAGGCTGGAGGCACTGAAGCTCCCTGGAGAACCCTTGCTGTGAGTCCACACTGACAGGCCGAAGAAAGCAGAGTCTGATCCCAAGGACCAGGGCAGCAGCAAAAGATGCATCCCGCAAGCAGGCATCAGTTTGCCAGCCCAGCTAACTTCCTCATTCCACCCGGGCTGCAAACCTATTGGTTGGTGTAATGCATAATTAGGGCGGGCCTTCCTTGTCAGTTTGCCAGCCGATGTGCCAATCATCTCTGGAAACGCCTCCACAGTCACACAGGAAGTGTGCTTTATGGATCTGCCAGGTATCTTAATCCAATCAAGATGGCAGGATGAGCCCTCAGACATTCTCTTGCATAAACACAAGGCCTGAGTCTTTTAATGTAATGGAGGTATTAGATGGATCATGGCTCTGTGGAGGTTGCTAAGTGAGAGTAGCTTATTTCTGTAGTTGTTACACAAGACCCTGTTGAGCTACTTCCGCCTCCTGCTGTACTGACACTGACCACCAAGGCTGCTGAAAGAAATCTTTGATGTCATTGGTCACGGGAACACTTGATGATGAATGTGCTTTCTTTGCAGGGCAGAGAATTTATAAGTTTTTACTTTTTACATAGATTATTCAACATTCTCTGCGGCATCTAGAACATCATCTCTGAAACTCATGTAAATTTACCCAGGAAAATATTTAAATATCCACATATAGTTGGGAAAAAAGGACCTCGAAGGAGCTTTGGTCGCATCTTGATTTGTTCCCACAGGTGGTATGAAGTCACTAGGTTTGAAATGGTTGTGACGTTCAAACTGGATCTATTGTATCTCTTGATTTCTAGTCACGAAGACCCA